TTAAATTCGTTTTTCTCGTGCCAAAATACCCCCAGATACCGAGTTTCAAGCAAATCCATGTGCAAATAGCAGAGGTGCCAATTTTCGGCCATTTGGAACTTTGACCGGCCGCCATTTTGAAACGGTTTAAGATAATGACTTCCGGTTTGCGCGAAAATTTTTCTTTTTTTATGCTCTTTCGAACGAGGTATCACAAAGGGGGTCTTCCCATTTGAAAATTAAAAGTTAGGGTCCGTAACCCCCCCAAAATGGGGCCCCCCAAAATTTTGAGGGGGTCAAAAAGTAGCTCCCTTTGATCTAGGAGCACCCTCCAAGTTTCAAATCTCTACCTCAATTAGGTCAAAAGTTAGAGGGGGGGGAGGGGACTTTTCGAACACCCTGTATAATACATCAAGGCACGAAATTTATCAAAAAAGATTCGAGAATCCTGTAAAAACCATGTTTCTTTGTATTTAGTGTCCTAATGATTACGAAATAAAATCAATTTTGGCGAGGGATACTGGAAGAGGGAAATGGGTTAATAACCTCATGAGCTGAGATTGGTGAATCCCTTTTCTCAAAGGGTGATATTTTCTTCTTTTTCTTTCAGGGAAAATATTGAAAAATTGAGTCGTCTCGGAAGCAATTCTGAGCTGTTCTCATCGAAAATTAGATCCAATTACAATGTCAACGATGAAAGATGTGTCCAGCACTTGCGTAGTAAAATCCGTCACATTTCTTGGTGGGGACTTATTAGATTTCTGAGGGAAGGGGGAGGGCCAGCCCCGTCTCATTTCCGTTCATGCCGAAATGTATACCCGTTCACAACTCAAATTTTAATGTATTCATTGATGAATCGCAGAATGTTGGCTGAATATTTGCGGAATTTTCAGTTAATATAGGTCAAAAGTTAGAGGGGGGGAGGGGACTTTTCGAACACCCTGTATGGAGAATTCTAACCTTACGGGAAGGTCTCCGTGCGAGGCAGGTAAAATTCAGAAAGCTTTGCGCTTTTGGAAAGAAGCCGCTCACGCTTCACTCTCGCCGCGAGTGAAGCGCTGAGTGCCATGCGAGTCAAAACCCCTTCAATTTCTTGCGTATGCAATACGGACATCCATTAAGGTCGAATAGTTGCATCCAGACGTTGTACTGAAATCCCTTCATTATTTACGTTGCGTGCGATACTGCCTGAGGACGCTTGTTTCTTTTCAACATCAACTCAATTTCAGTGTTGCCTATTTTGACGATGAAGTAAACTTTTACTGATTTTTATCGTGACATGGTCAATTTTCCGGGGGAAAAATCGATTGGTTAAACGTTCCTCAACATTGCCGGTCCTTTAAATCACAAGAATTGTAGGTATCTGAGTAAAAGTTGCTGAGTTTCTTTTAACTTGCTTTAAGAGTCGTCTTTTGCTTGGATTTTCCCCCTCTTAATATAATAATTTTGACGAAAGAAAATTATTTTTTAGCGGTAGTTTTCGTGAAAAATGATATTTGAGGGGCTTGGAGGATAAGGCGCGTAAGTACAGTTTTTGCTGTGTCGAAAAAGACGCGTTGAAGTTTCAAAATTAGGTACATGGATCCTTAGGTATGCCGGAAAAAAGCTCCAACTGACTATTTGATGCTGAAAAATTGGAGTTTGGGAGCTAGTTTACTTAAAATCATTAATATCTCATTTTTTTTTCAAAAACTGCACGTATGCGCCTTATCCTCCAACCCCCCCCCCCCTTT